ATAGCAGCAACAGCTTTTCCAGGTTCTGCAGTCATCTGAACAAAATTATAGACACTCAGCACATTCCATTAAAAAAAAAAAAAAAAAACAAAGAAAAGAATAATATCCAGACAACAGCAAAGTTCTGTTGCTGCTCTTGTACCTGGCACCATTTTTTCTATTAGCCTCTTAATCATCATCTGGAAAGAGAACATTCTAGAGTAATATCATTAAATGTAGCTCTGAAAAAGCACGGTCCCTACTATGTATCATAAAGCAGATACTAGATATTTTATCGAAGTCCTTTTAACTTTCTTATTAATGAAGATTTTTAGAGAAATTCTGATAAGTAGGAAACTAGGCAAAAAGTAATATTTAGCTAAAAATGTGGGGTTTTTCTGTTATTTTTTTGGTTTTTTGAGACAGGGTCTCACTATGTAGTTCAGGATGGCCTTGAACTCACTGTGTAGTCTAGGCTGGCTTCAAATTCACAGACACCCTCCTGCCTCAGCCTCCCAAGTGGTAGGATTACAGGCATGTACTACCACACCTGGCATGAGATGATTTCGTGCGAGATGATACAAAACTGGGGACTCAGCCTAAAAAAGACCTTTTATTCAGTTTTCAAAGTGTGTAGGTTTTTTTTTGTTGTTTTGTTTTGTTTTTTGTTTTTGGAGTACCAGGGATCGGACTCTGGCCCTTGCACTTGTGAAGCAGGCAGCAGAACCACTGAGCCAAATCCCCAGCCCCTAACTCAGTTTTCAAATCTTTCTTTGGTGGGGAAAGACTGGCTAAAGTAGCCTTTTATATAAAGAAGAATTAATGTGCCAAATTTAATTATTCTGTTGTTTTTTTTTTTTTCTGGTATTTAGAAATAACTGTGTTGGAGTAAAGTTGTGGGATTTTTTGGGTTTGGTTTTGTTTTTGAGACAGAGACTCACGTAGTATGTAGCTAGGTTGGCCTTGAACTCACAGGGATCCTGCCTCAGTCTCCTGCATGCTAAGATTATAGGCGTGCACCACCACAGCCGGCTTAGTTTGGTTTTTTGAGAGTTTCACCATACAGCCCAGGCTAACCTTGCACTCTTGATCCTCCTGCATCAACCTCCTGAGTGCTGGAATTAAATGACAGACTCCTGCCACCCTGCCTGAAGACAGGCATGTTATTAATGAGGCAGACGCTGATGCTTCAGTGCCATCCTAGTTGGGCCTGAGTCGTTTCTGGAAATAAGTAGTACAGAGACACAGAAGTAGGGCAGGCTGCTCAACTCTTTCTCCTATGTCTTGCTTATTGTAATGCATGACTTGCCCCAAGAGACATTGACCCAGGTGTGGCAGTACACCCCTATGATCCTAGCACTTGGGAGGCTGAGGCAGGAGGATCACTCTGAGCTCAAGGCTGGCCTGGGGCTACATAATGAGTTCAAGGACAGCCCTAACTACATACGAAGACCCTGTCTCAAAAAAGCGGGGAGGAGTTGAAGGAGTCATATAAGTAATGGCTTCAATGTTTTAAGTGGGACAGGAATTTACATACACAGCATATAAGATTGGTAGGAACTGCATTTAGCTGTCCCAGCAGCTTCCCCAAAGAATGTAGTCACCCAGTGTTCAACCCTTAACATGTTTAATGACACAGATGAATAATCCCAGGATCCAAATTTCTGTTGCTTTGGAATTATTAGAAACTTGGCAAATGAAAATGAGAAACATTACATTTGGAGGTTAAGGTTAATATTTGAATCTGTCTCTCTACAGATGTAAGCAGACAGAGCTCTCTTTAGCTACATTTACAGCTTTTTAGTTATTACAACGCCATGCTGCATCCTCCAGCTGGAGCGAATGTTCGACTGAACCTGTTACAGTAACCTGGTGTTTCGTTCACGAGAGTCAGAGAATTAGTTGTGATTGTGGTATGAGCATCATCTTTATTTTTTGAGCTACTTATAATTAAATATATAAAACAAGGGTTAGGAAAAGAATTCAAGAAAAGACAATTCCCTCATCTTTAGCTCATTAAAATAGTTTTCTGAGCTGGGCGTGGTGGTATACACCTGTAATCCCAGCACTGGGGAGGCTGAGGCAGGAGGATCGCTGTGATTTCGAGACCAGCCTGGGCTACACAGTGAGTTCCAGGTCAGTCTCAACTACATAGTGAGACCCTGTCTCAAAAAACCAAAACATAAAAAAATAAATAAATAAAATAGTTTTCTGCCTTTCTGTTCAGTGTGATTATAGAGAAGATGTTTCTTTTCATGCATTCAACACATATTCATATGTTCCAGTCACTTCGTTAGGTGCAGGAGAGAACTGGTGACAAGATTGATGAGAGTCCGCTTTCCTGGAGCTTAATTTGAAATGCAGTTTCTTCACTCACAGAGGTTTTAAAGGAGTTCTTCCTCCTGCTTGTGTTCTGCATTGCTATTTGGATGTTGCTGTTACCTCCAGGTCCTTCCTTTTTTTCTTTTTGAGACCTTGTGTTTGCGAGGCAGGGGGTGGAACCACTGAGCTAAATCTCTGCTCCCCTGCAGATCCTTCCAATGAGTCCTGAACCTCTATTCCCAAGCTGTCTGGAACTGTTGTACAGCATTGATTTTTGCGATACTTTCCATTGTCTTGAAATTGACACGGCAGAGTTTTGTTTTTACTTCATTTTTAAAATGCATGATGATTTAGAACTTGGAGTGTGGCTAGGCGTCAGAGAACTTGCCTAGCATGTACAAGGCCCTGGATTCAGCCCTCAGGACAACACAGTTACCGCATGATACTCGGAGCATCACAGAAGTAGTCGTATACTTTATTGTGAGACCTAACTTGGAAAGTCGTAAACACGGATGAGTCTTCCTTTTCTTTTACGTAGGCTGAGCACCCACTAAGTAAGTGTACATGGAGACTCAGCGTGAGGTTCTGTTGTATTATACTTTTGATATACTTGGCCAGGTGACCTAAACAGCTAACCGGTATTACCCTCCCTTCGGCATGGACATATAGTATCTTTAACCTCATTAGAGTAACCATTCCTAACAGATGGAACTGTGAGGGCTGTAAATCCATCATTGATAAGTCTTAGAAGGCAGGTGATTGATTCTTCGCTTCCTGGCACATGAATACCTTAGAGTTGATGGTGGGTAACCTGCACTTCAAAATGCTCTCCAAGTACCATGACTTCAAACATAGTGTTTATCTGGAGTACCTTCTGGTGCACAGCTAGAGACCCACCTGTCCCAGCTGCTTCTGGTTGTCTGTGCGGGATGACTAAGTCTCATACTTAGTCTTATTTTTCTTAGAAATTAAAAAAGATCCATTCTTCAGAACTCGCCTTGGTACAGAGCGGTGTGTGTGTTAAAGAGTGAGCTGAGACCTGTAACAGCAGTTTAATCGTGATCTTTAGAGAGACTGACATTTTCTAAGGTGCTTCATATCAGCTACTGTTCTTCTTGACCTCAGACAAACAGATTCTTTGCCGGGCCCCAGAATTAATTAATTATTCATTTATTTTGGGGGTTTTTGAGATAGGGTCTCACTGTATAGTTGAGACTGACCTGGAACTCACTCACAGCAATCCTCCTGCCTCAGCCTCCTGAGTGCTGGAATTATAGGCATGCACCACTACACCCGGTGAAGTTTTTAATAGAGGGTACTCCAAAACACAGTGGCCTCTGCTTCAAGTGCTACCTGGAAGACCCAAGTGCTACAAAGGACACCATTTATAATGGAGCTTAGCTGATACTAGCACAGTTCTGGTTGATTTTCTCTTTGTTTGCTTTCCAGTAGTAAGCCATCAGGTATGTTAAAACCTGGCATTTTGAGAACAATTGAGCACTCCTGAGGATTGGTGCAAGATAAACCACAAGTCCCTTCTGTCCTGAGAGCCCTGCAGTGGCCAGCTTTTCTCAAAGATTTATTTTTACAGTGAATGTAATTAAAAAAAAACCTCTGATGAGGTTTGTGCCCTTAGGATCTATCACTTAGCAAAAGCCCAGTTGCTGAACTTTCAAAGACACTTTAGATCCAAACCATAGCTCCAAGTGAGGTCTTCGGCACTTCCAAAGGAAGAAAAAGTTCCTGCCGGTGCTGGTGCTCTGTAGCACTACTCCCATCCTTTCCATAAGCATTCTGGATGGTGCCATTGCTTGAAGGATTGTAGTTCGTTGACATTGTCAGGAAGGTCACTGTGGTGTTTATTTTTCCCACCACTGTTTGAAAAGGAGATTTACACTTTGACTTGTCCACGCTCTTATATTGGCAGAATTTCCTGAGCCTGGATATAGTTAGGAAGAGCAGTCATGTATCAATCAGGCCAAAAACAGTTTGAAAATGAGGATACTGTTGTAGGCACTGCAGTACTTCTCACGTTCTCATCCTCTTGCTTGTGGAAGAATAGGGAACAGGAGACATATTTGTACTTGGAATGTCATTTTAAAAATTTCAGGTGAAATGACAGGCGTGGTAGTGCACGCCTGTAATCCCAGCCCTTGGGAGGCTGAGGCAGGAGGATCACTGTGAGTTTAAGACCAGCCTGGGCTGGAAATCAGTTTTGGGTTCTGCAGATTCACCATAATGAGTGGCTTTCTCTGAGGCCGAGTGAAACACAGCTCTTGAAACTGCTTTGCCTTTGCCGTGTGTGCACCCTCACAGGAATAAACTTGGTCAGAGCTTGTTGATTCTGATCATTCCTTCTGACTGGTCGTGTGGGGCATTATTTAACTCAGAGAAGTGTAGGTGGATGTACATATATAAGTGTGTTTGTGCGACAGGAAAGAGGCCTCTGCACAGTTCCTAATAAAGGATGCCTCTCATAGGACCATTGATTGCCTAATATTTTTTTTCTTTTGCTTGAACTCAGGAGCAGAAGTCTGGCCTCCAGGGGTTTGTCTTAAATATGTCGGCGGAGACCAGTTTGGACACGTGAACATGGTGATGGTGAGATCCCTGGAGCCCCAAGAGATTGCAGATGTCAGCGTCCAGATGTGCAGCCCCAGCCGAGCAGGGATGTATCAGGGACAGTGGCGGATGTGCACTGCTACAGGACTCTACTACGGAGGTGAGTGTGTTCACGTGTAGTCCAGGGGAAAGCGTGGCGGGAGCGTGGCATCTTATCACGCCACGAGGTGTGGCCCTTGACCCATGCCAGGTTAGTGACTGATAGGTTCACATAGTGCTCGCCTTGTGTCCTAGGAATTGAATCACAATTTAGTGGTGTGTAAAAGGCATTGTGTTATGTATTCTGAGCAGTTTAGTGTTACCGTTCGTGAGCTCAAGGTCCTGAATTCTACTCCCTGAAAAAAAAGGGAAAAAAGCGTGCGCGCGCGCGCGCGCTCCCTCCCAAAAAGGGAAAAGATAAAAAATGAAACTCGTTTTGTGGGACTGGGGGCTTTCTTGACCTATGTTGCTCTGTCCACCCGTGTCTGAGAGGATCTGCAGACCTCTGTGAAACGAAAGATTACAAAACTTTTTGTGCCCTAAAATAGTTTAATTCTACTTTAAACCATTGTATTTCACTGAATCCAAATTACTGCTGATTGTGGAATATATCTTGGTGCCGGAGATGCTGAGTGCCTAATAGAAATTGCCCGTATTGGCTGGGGATGGAGGTCAGTGGGAAGATGCTTGCCTAGCACGCACAAGGCTCTGGCTTCATCCTCAGCACCACACATGAAAGAAAAAAGATAATAGCTAGTAAAGACTTGATACAGTATGAAAAAGGGAAGGAAGATATTAAGTGTAGAAGTACAACTGTGAATATACAGGAAAGAGAAAGCATGCCTGGCGGTCCTCGGAGTATCCCACCGCTCACAGCCCGCTTGCTTATTGGACGGGGTATAGTGTGGAGTGTGGACTGTAGGGTTGCCTGGGCAAAACCTGGCACTTACTAGCCTCCTTGTGTCTTTTGTTTTTGATGGGGCAGCCTATTCTGTAGTTTTTAGATGGTCTTCTTTATTTATTCTTGTTTTTTGGTTTTTTGAGACAGGGTCTCATTATGTAGTAAGACTGACCTGGAACTCACTATGTAGGTCAGGCTGGTCTCGAACTCACAGGGATCCTTCTGCCTCAGCCTCCCGAGTGCTGGGATTACAGGTGTGCGCCACCACGCCCGGCCACTAGATGGTCTCCTTTAGAATGAACCCATCCTTCATCACTTGGGGATGCCTAGGGATGCTTTACCCTGAGCAACATCCCGCAGTCCATCCGCCCATCATTCATTCATTCATCCGAGACAGTATCATGAATTGCCTGGGCTGGCCTCAAACGTTTGATCTACCCCGTCCTCTAGAGCAGCCCTCACCACCACACCTGACTTTTTGTGACCCTTAATGTGTTAGCCCCCCCACTCGCTCTCTTTCTCTTACTGTCCCCCTCCTTCTTTATTTTTTTCTTTATTTCTGTACTGGGGAACTCGGGTAGCATCACCACTGACCTGAGTACCCAGCCCTCTCCCACTTATTTTTGCTACGCTGTGCTGTGAGTTTCTCAGTAATGTGGGCGTTCTCCACTATGTCCCCTCATTCCCTTGTTTCTTCCCACTAAATACTTGTAGTTGAACCTATTTATCTGGACAGCTTACCCAGTGGTAGCGAACTTAGCATGCATGCCACAGCTAGCTGACTGTATCATTGAAAGCTCTACAAGGTTTGCCACCACTGACTTACACTATTCCTCACCGCACAAATTTCTTAACTCTTTTGGTTGAGGACCAGTAAGTATCTTGAGTCTTGGAAAATTATTTTTAAGCCCCAGTATATTCATTCATTCATAGTCTCATATACCCTTCCCCCCGTTTTGTTTTGCTTTGGCTTTTTGAGACAGGGTCTCATTATGTAGTTCAGGCTGGCTTTAAACTCACAGTGATCCTCCTGCCTCGGCCTCCCAAGTGCTGGGATTGATTATAGGCGTGTTACCACTATGCCTGGCTTGTCTTCTTCTTCTTCTTCTTCTTTTTTTTTTTTTCTTTATACTTGATCTCAGCCAAAAGGCTGGGAAGTGATCCTTTGTCTTTTTATTGACTTTGTTATCCTTCCTTACTCCTCCTTACCGGAGGAATTCGATTCTTAGGTAAAATTTACCTCTTTTGTTTGTTTTTTATGTTAATTAATTTTTTGGTACAGGGAATTGAACTTGGGACCTTGTGCTTGCGAGGCAGGCGGCAGCAACACTAAGCTTAATCTGCAACCCCTTGTTTTGTTTTTTTGAAACAAGGTCTTCCTGTGTAGTTCAGGCTGGCCTTGCCCATGCTGGCCTCAGACTCATGGTGATCCTCTTGCCTCAGCCACCTGAGTGCCTCTTAGCTTTTATCTAAGTAGTAAATGGTAGTACTAGCAAATTTTAATAATTGCGGTATATCAGTCATCTGTATTGGGATTTTTGCTTATAAATTTACTTATGAAGGAAATATTAGCTACATTTTTATGGATGAGGAAACTGAAGACCGAAGAACATGTGGTTTGAGTCTTGTTATGGCTTGTATCCTGATGTCCCCTTCAAGCCCCGCACACTCATAGGTGGGCTTTTGATAGTGACTTGATCATGGGCACTCGCTGGTTTAGCACTATTCTGGGTGTGCGTGGCAGACTTACCGAGGAGAGACCACCCTAGGTATGGGTGGCACTGACCAGTAGGGTTGCAGCCTGGATGAAATGAAAAGGGAGAGGAGGAGGAAGGCCGTGGTGCCTCCCATTCCATTAATGTTTCTTCCGTACCCTGCCTTGGAGCCAGCTGCCTATGAGACCTCTACAAGCCGTGAGCTAAATGAATAAACCTTTCCTCCTCTAGCTTGTAGGTGTTGGGCATTTTGTCTCAGCAATAAGGAATAACTAAGGCACCTCTGGTCTAGTAGTACGTGTGGGTTAGCTATACATTAAAGGTATATATTAACAAAAGTAATTTATCATCTTTGGTCATTAGTTTGGCCTTCATTGCCATATGCGTGCAGAAGGAAACTTGGGCTCCATTCATTAAGCGCTCAGGGATGCTGCTGTGTGTGGTCCTAAGTCCTCTCTCTGCTTCTAGAGTGAGCTTGAGGGCGGGTTGAGGTTAGCTGGGTTTCTCTTAGAGAGCTGGGTGTCACCTGTACCGAAGGGAGCATGGTTTTGTAGGACATGTGGCTGTGTGGTAAGCAGCATGAGACACTGTGCCCATCTTAGCCCGGGGAAAGCCTATTAACACGTCTTCTCCTCTCCCGGCAGCATGGTCTGTTCTGAAATTGTGCAGGAGCGCCTTTTCGCTGTATGTGCTGGCTCCCCTGAGTCATAGGGATCTACTGTGACGTATGCTAAGGGGGGTTACCTTGTGCTGATGTGCTTTTCTCCATGTTAAATACCTCACACGGGCCCCGAGGGTCGTTTCACATGGAGATTAAAGTTTTACACATTCGTTTAGTTTCTTAGAGATTGGAAAGAAGCTCCCAAAGCACCATGTGACCTACATTATTAGGAAACTTACTGGGTGCTCTGTGTGAGCCAGGATGGTTTATGTCCTGACACTTGTAAGTTCTGTCTGGTTTGTCCCTCTGGCCGTGTATCTTCTCTGTCCAGCGGCTGTGTGGGACTTTCCCTCTGTACCCTTTCCTGTATTTCAATTAGTTCTGTTTTAAAAGAATCTCGGACTTCTTGCACACTTCTCAGTAGGATCCATGGTGTCTTTACTTAGTATTGCTCTTGCCCAGTTTTCTTGTCCTGCCTTAATACGTTCTTCATTTATGTTGAACTCGAAGAGCTTGCTTCCTGTGCTTCTAGGAGGTCCTCCCCTGTACGCTCGCTCGCCGTTTCAATTCTCAGCTCCTGAATTCTCCAGGATCAGAAATGAGTAACCCTTGAAAATGAGATTTTATTTTTGCTCAATGCTTTTAAGCTGATTGTGACTTGTATGGGGAATGTTGGGGAGGGGATGGTACCGGGGACCGAGCTCAGGACCTTGCATTTGCAAGACAGGTGATGGCACCACTGAGCTAAATCCCCAGGGAATGTTTTAGAAGCAACATTCCACAATGTAGATGAGTTCTGAAACACTACAATACTTCCATGTTGTGAGGTAACACAGGCTTCAGCTTCAGGAGGAGGAGGAGGCTAGGGTTCTGGTGGTGGCGATACATTGGTCACGTCCAGGTAGTTTGTGTGTGGTGAGACGCACTGTAAAGTGGCTGTGCTCTTGGGAATAGCCTCTAAGATGCAGAGATACACATTCGCACCTCCGTGAACTGTTTTATTTATTTTTTTGGTGGGGGGCGTTGAGACAGGTTCTCATTATGTAGTTGAGACTGACCTGGAACTCACAATGGAGCCCTGGTTGGTCTCGAACTCACAGCAACCCTCCTGCCTCAGCCTCCCTAGTGCTGGGATTACAGGCATGCGCCACCACACCCAGCGATGTCGAAAGAATGGAGAGGTTTGTTTATTTTGTTTTGTTTTTTGATACCCAGTATTGAACTGGGGTCCTTGTGCTTACAGGGCAGGCGGGGGAACCACTGAGCTAAATCCCCTACTCCCTGAACTATGAAAAAGCAAAAATCAAGATGAAACAGTGATTCTTATTTAGGGTGTAATTAGCAGCATAGTTGCCTGCCCAGGTGTGAGGTACATGTGCTAATGTGTTGTTAGTGCTTCCATTCCATTCCATTTCATTACCTCTCAGCAGAACGCACAAAGACTTAGGTAGAAGGGGAAAAATGTAATTGAAAAGCAGCACCGTTTTTTCCTGTGGTAGCCAGAGCCCTCCTATTAACAGCAATGTCTGTCTTTAGAGTGTTAGATTGTAAAGACTCTGAATACAGATACCTCCTCCTGGGACTAGGTTGCTTAGTGGATAGTCATTAGGTGGATTAGTCCCTAAGTGGATTGGTCACTGAACGAGGAATTGTATATAGTATGTACGTTACGATATTCAGAACAAAGAAATGGTCAGAGGAAACTCCAACTTGATTACATTGCTTTTATTTGCATAATTCACATGCAGTACTATACTGTATAACAGAACATGAAACTACAGTATTGCAGGGCCGGGGACTTAGCTTAATGGCGCCACACATGCCTCAAGGGCACTAGGTCCTGA